CCGTTAGCGGTATCCGGATACTGCTAACGGTTAGCGCTAACCGATCGGGCGTTTTCACGTAGGTGCTAACGGTTAGCGCTAACGGTTAGCTCCCGATCCGGATACAGGGCTCTCGTGAGAACTAGGCTGTACTCGTTTACAATTTCCAGTTTCTGATTGGCCAGTGATTCGATCATCATATTGCTAGTATCCGGATCGGGATTTTCTCGCATGGACGCACGGCAGCTAACGGTTAGCAGGATCCGGATCCTGCTAACCGTTAGCTGCCGTGTGAGAACATAGCCATAGTCATAAATGTTCTTACTTCAGTCTCAACCATGGTTGGTCACCCCCCCCCCCCCTCCACCCACCCAACTTTAAAAGTCTCTATTTCAAATTTCTGGATCCGCCACTAAAAAATATGAATTAATAATTAATTAAGCTCATTTCTCATGACCCCACCCACATGGGACCGCAGTGTGCGATAGTCAGCGTGAACTCTGTATCCGCGCCTGTTGATCGCAGAAACTATAATAAGTGGCCGAAACTCCATGACAAGTTTCCCTTTAGTGGGTAAAATATCAGATAATATATCGAAATAATAGCGTGGTTACTTAATGTGAAAGGCCGTTAAGTAACACGATTAATGTAGTAGTAGTAGAAGGCATGGACTTTTTTTTTAACTCACTAATAAATACAGCTCCACTCCCTAAGCCTTATAAAGAGATTTAGGTTATAAAGCATCATTCCATTCGGTAAACGACGAATGTACTTGATGTTAAGTGTAGAGGAAAATCAATAAAATACTGAAGAATTGTCTTACAATCAATAAACGCATTATCTTTCAAGATTGCTTATAGCGTATAACTTGGGACACTCTGATCTTGCTCTGAATACATTGCAGTCTCCAAACTAAATCTACTTCTTGACTTCTTAGATCACCAATCAATCACCTTCGTGTGCCGCTCCTACACTATGCAATGCTCTACCTCTCAAAACGCCATCTTCTGTTAATTCTTTTCACACTCGCAGATTCCACTTCTTTAACCTTTAATAATATATATATATATATGTGTGTGTGTGTGTGTGTGTGTGTTAATTAACCTCAGTAGTAAATGTGCACTTTGAGTATACCATTGTTATAGTGACACTGAACATTGCATTCTGCCGTGGATATTGGTGCCATACAAATCTATGTTAATTGATAGAAGAAATAGTAATGGTTAGAAAAGGATTTTAATTAGAATTCCGCATGAAATAACAGAAATTTTATGCCAAATTAACTCAATACTTATGTATTTCAACTTTGTTAAAGGTAGATGGTTTCGGCTTACAAAACTATTACTATCTTACTAATAGTGGAAAACAAAAGAGCCTAGTCTACTGCGGTTGTTATGAATGCATTGATGCAAACTCAGAAAGAAAGGTTAAACAACTGAATTTTAAAGATATATGACCATTAAAAACATTGCCACTAGTAGAGACTATTGAAAAAAGGTAGACTAAAATCTATGCCTTATGTGTATTGTTGTTGAGAATGCTCATCTTTGAGTATGGTGAAACGACTATGAAATCAATGTTATTAGCTTAGATAAGTATGCATGGTATTAAAACAACTCTTTAAACATAATTTTTGTGAACTGGGAATCTCTACAGTTTATCACCTCTTTTAATTTGAATATTTTATATGTATTATAAAACGCAAATTTAGAAATCTTAATAAGTAGAAGTGTAGCTCAATCAATAGTATTTTGTTGCAAAATATAATCATTAACAAAAAATTTGAAACTTGTTTTATCTTATTATTTGGTGAAAAGACTAATTTTATTACATTTTTCTCTTAATGTTGCAGCCTAGGCCATATTCGAATGCCCAGAGCATTCAGTGAAATTTAAAGAAACATTAACAAATATTGAATACAAATTGGATGACCCCACAAACCGAGAAAACAAATATGTAGAAGAAATTATTTAAGAATGTGAGAAAGTTCAGCGAATCTAATCAGACACTTGATCATTATTTAATGAGCAAATGTGTGTTACTGATTTGTAAATGATTGCGACGATCTAACAATAATTTTCGTAACCCCTTAACTTGAAGTAAATGAATACTGGCATTATTACTTAATAATATATTACTAGGCTGGATAATTGATTGATTATCCACTGTCTCTCAACAAGCCTACTGTAATAAGATGCCGTATAGTTCCTCCTCAAAGGATGAACCATTAATGATGACTTTGATGAATAGTGTGATGACACAGATGATGAGAAAAAAAATCTTTTAAATTGCAAATCCACTGCGTATGGTAATCGCATGATAAACGTCAGTTCACATTCGACATTTTGTCGCAGGATAAAAAAAAAACCTGAGAAAAAACACACCAGAATTTACATTAAGCCGATTAAAAGTGAACGATAGATGAGAGGAATATATCTGAAGACCTAAATTAGCTTATCGAAGGCATTTCAGTGTTTATTGGTATTCCTCGTTTCTCGACCAAAATTGTAGATGATGATGCAAACTTCAAATTATATTTTTGTGAAAGCATATCTTTATGTATTTGTCTAATCGAAATTAAGCTGAAATACAGATATTCTTTTTTCGTTCACGTTGACTTGAAGTACTACAATAGATACCATTCACGACATCACCAGAGCTTTTTCGCGGCATCCATCAACAGTGTAATTAACTTCTAATCTATATGTCAAATCGAAGAGTTCACGTCTTATCAACTGAAGAACAAATTTATTATAAACGGCGGCTTGATTTGGTAATAAGATAGACATTGGTCGATATCTTTCATTGGGGGAGTATAAACAATACTCCACGTATGAAAGCTACAGGGTTGGTAGGTAGATGTGTTGTTCGTTATACCACATTCATTTATTTATTGACAGCTAGAAGAGGTATTTCGTTAAGTTGCAATCTGGTCTAGAGGTTAAGAGCAAGCTGATGTTAATAATA